ATGTTCGTGTTTAAAAAAAATTATCATGAAATTAACATCAGTAGTTGATGCAATACTTATAAGGTTATGTCGATTGCATTTTAATCGTTATTTGCGAAAATTTAGCTTCAGTGCCAACATCGAATGGAATTTTCAAGTAAAAATTTGATTTTCAATCATTTAAAATCACATTAGTAAATATGTTACATCAAGCGGTACAAAGTGTAAATCAAACTGTAAGTCATTTTGTGTTAGCTACTTTAATACTAACGCCTTTAATAATATTTTTTTTTTATTTCTTTCGCCAATTATCGTAGGTTATTTTGGATAGTTTTTGTTGTAATCTCAGTATATTTTTGTAGTTCATCAATTCGTGATATTCTAACGGATTGGAAAGAAAATCCAGTTACGATGTGTTTAACTGAAATACCAGCTCCAATTTCAGCCATTCCATTTCCAACCGTGACTGTATGTGCATCGAACAAACTTCATAAGGCAAAATTTAAAACGTTAGAAAATATTTTTCGTAGTTTTAGTAAACATAGAAAAAACAGAAATATTTTTTTTTTCAGAGGTCAACAATTAAAAAATAAAAGTCTCATATGTGACACGTATGGAGGAGAATTGAATGAATTTGCAAATGAAACGGTGTATGATTCAATGCAAGAGATTGCGCCCGATGACATTGTATCATTTTGTTGGTGGCGTATGTTGAATTTCAAAGGTTCCGAAATGTTTACACCAATTTTAACTGAAGAAGGTCTCTGTTTTGCATTCAATGCCTTAAGTTCGCATGAAATTTATACAAAAGAGTAAGTCTGGAATATACATTTTTTCACCGTTTCTGGGAATATTTTTTTATTTTTTCGTCACATGTTGTATTAGAATGGCCCTGGGAATGATGAATGTAAAGACAAACTCAAATATATCACATTGGAGCCTTGAAAATGACGATGAAATAAATAAGAATGCGTATCCAATACGTATATTCAATTTCAGATCTGATGCTTCGCTGCGCATGGAACTTTACCTTGGCGATAATGAATTTTATTCGTGTAGCTTGAAGGGAAAACCAGCTTTCGCATATTTATTCATATGCCGGGCGAAGTGCCTTAAAGCGACCATGATTACAAAATCAGAAGGACTACGCTACTATTCACCCGAACAAAGACAATGCTTTTTCAATTCAGATCGTCAATTGCGTTTCTATAAAATATATACACAAAATAATTGTGAATCAGAGTGTCTGGCCAATTTTACTCGAACTATGTGCGGATGCGTGAAATTTTCCATGCCAAGTACAAATGATAAGAATATTTTTTACAAATAAATATATTACAATATATTTTATTTAATTTTTGGGAGACAATGAAACAAAAATCTGCAGCACAGTGAAAAGTGAATGTTACGAAACTGCAGCAGGGAATCTGTATGGTGAAGATATCGTTGATGGTTGGAGGATAATGAAGCAAAATTATGTCGAAAAAATTGTAATTGTTTACCATCCTGTACATCGATTTCGTATGAAGTAATTGATCATATCCAGATATAGGATCAAAGTGATATTTTGGAGAAAACCTCATGGTTTGTTATTTTCTTGGTAGATTTTAAAATGTGATAAGATTTAAGAATATTCCATTAAAATCATTTTAGGGTCACAATTCACTTCAAAACACACGAAGTGACTACGTATAAACCAGCCGAATTGTATACTTTTTCAAACCTTTTGGCCATCGGTGGTGGCCTTTATTTTTGGGAATTTCAGCGCTCAGTATCGTGGAATTCCTTTACTATTTCACCATTCGAACCTATTGGAATATTCAACATTGGAAATTGAATCGAGTAATGCCGCTTAGACGATCAATTATACCAACCATTTCTCAAGATATTTCAAATGAGTAAAAATAAAAACCAAAATGTCTTACATCCGTAAGATGAACTTTTCCGCACTTTTCAGATTCATAAATAATAAATGGATGTTGTGTTTATCTGACGTTAGTTTTGCAATGCAAATAGTTTTTGACAGAGTAATGTGAATTTTTGCATGGGAGCCATGCCTATAAAAAATGAATGTTGGCATAGGTTATTTTTATTCATCAAAAAATGAAATTCTGAAAAAAGGATTTTTTTTACCAAAAAGGGAAAGACCCCGTTCATTACTTTTGATCCGAATGGAATCATAACACCCTTTTAAATCTTTACACTAAATACAATCGAATTTTATCGGAATTCTGTCCGAACTTTTCCGGGCACCTTTGAATTTTACCCATTTCTCTCCTTTTGAACCTTTAACGTCGTGGAATGTTTTGCAGAATAAAATCCAAAAATAAAAAAACTTATCACTTAAAATGTCATCAGTTTCTTTTATTTAGAATATTCGAAAATTACACATTTCTTCCGCAACAAAGATTAGTGAAAAATAGTAGTAAAAATTCCAAATTTATTGATCTCCGATTGGATGTAAGCGACTCTCTTAAACCAATTAATAATTCAACCCAAATGATGCGCTTCATGTTGTAATCTTTCAATAGGTTTTGCACGTTTTCGAGATTTTCGATTAGTTGAGATTGCGATTTGTATATTCTTTCAATGAGAGGTACAATTTCTTGTACCATTCTTGGGAATTCAGTATAGTTTTTTGCTTTCAATAGATTATCACACTTCTCATTGGCTAAACGAAAGTAATTGTCAATTGTTTTTCGCAAATTATCTACTTCTTTCATCTTCTTCTTGAACTCTCTATTTGAAACTTCATATTGTGCCGCCATCGCTCTGATTTCCTTTTTAATATTTTTCAAATGTTCTTCGTCCATTTGATCTTTATCCCACAGTTTAAACCAATTGGCGAACATTTTGTCATTGGCGATGAATGGTTTGTGAGCGATTTCTGTGTAAATTTCCATATTCAGTTGGCCGATTTTCTCCGTCAAGTCATTGTTTATCAAATAAATTTTATTTCGTAAAAAAGCACGGGCATTACCTCGTTCATGTTTACTTTCTTCGTCATTAACAGTAACTTGGCCAATAACAACTTGCATACCCGCAGGCACTCTATCCATTACCTGCCTAAATTTGGTTTCAGTCATCAATTTCGTGACCGGAACTGCATGTTTTGTTTTCGCTTTATCCATGGTATTGGTTATGGTGAAAATACAATTCAACCCTGATCCCATTTCAATTCCTTTTTCAGCAGCCTTCGCATGAAATTTCTCCAGAAACATTGAGAAGGTAAGATTTCCTTCGCTATTGATCGACTTTTGGAATGAAAAAAAAAAAATTAGAACTTTTTGAAGCTGACAGCAGTTAATTGAAAATTCAAGTAGACGAATGTGCGGTGTTTTCAGAAAAGTGTTTCACTTTGAAACTTTTATCGTTCTCTTCCAATATGTATGCATTTTTTTACGATTTAAAGTCTTTTCTTTCACAATTACCTGAACGAATAGCGAGAGTAATAAAAGTGATGAAAATGAAAACCGCTTCATTTCTGAACTTCAAATAAAAGAGGCTGATAAATTAATAAATTATCGCATTCATCAAGAGATTTATATACACAAATGTCTGCTAGAAAAGAAATGTACATGTGTATCGTAGAACGCATTCCATTAGCACAAAAATTTATATTAAAAGTTGTCTCAATTTTATTGGCTGTAAATTGGAAAGAGAAAAATTGAAAATATGTTGCTATTTCTGAGTACAAAATTAATTGAGGGCATATAACCGAATTGCCTATAGTAACTACAGTTTACATTACAAACCAGACGTTCTGCGAAAGTATGTGCGCCATTTGATGACTAATGATCATGTGTTTTGACTAATCACATGATCGACGAAAGAAATTTCAAGGGGGGCGAGTTGGTGATCGAAAAATTCCGTAGGGGGTTCTCACAAGAGTCACTTTTATTTATTGTGAAAGGGGTTTTCCCGGCAAAACCTCTAGCAAAAAGAGTTGTTTGATAAAATTCGGAGAAAATTGAGCACGGGGGCGAAAATTTGTATTGGTGAGTTTTTGGGTATGAGAAAACCGAATCTGACATTTATTTTGCGATAAAACTAAGCTTACATAAGTATATTTTCCATACAAAAATAAAATGTCTTACATCCGTAAGATGAACTTTTCCGTAAATATGAATTCATGAGAAAACTGAAATTGATATAAGTGTTGCGAAACAAATAACTTTTGATAGACTTTTCAATGCCTATATATGATATCATAATCATGTGAAAATTCACAGATGTTTTTTTTTTACAAAAAGCTAACATTCTGAAAGTTTGAAGAAATTTCAGTATAATTGAGTGGTACCTTCCATACAAAATTTTCGTTTTTGAGCAAAAAATCCAAAATGTTGTACGGGAGGTACCCTTATTATGCAATGAAATCTCTTCAAACCTTCGGAATGTTATTTTTGTGTGAAAAAAATAGCCTGTGCAAAGTTTCAGCTCATTACGATATCATACAGACATGGATTTTATACAAAAAACCAATTTTTTGACATATTTGTATGAAAAGTGTGTCGAAAATTATTTGTATCGCAAAAATTATCATTATATTCGGTTTTCTCGTACCCAATAACCCCCCAATACATATTTTTGAGTGTTTAAGAATACATTCAATGACGGCCTTAGAAGAAAACAATAACATACAGAACGTGTTGCAAATAATACTAATACAAATTTTATGAGAGCAAAAACCAAATATATAAAAAGACAGCGCAAAAGGCAAATGCAAAACCAGCCTTCTTACATGTGTTTCTTATTCCTCGGCACCCCCAATCATCCTGTGAAGTCAGATTTTGAATTACTTTTCTTGTTTGAAAGTTATCGTGTTAAAAAAAAAATTGCGTACAGCGTACAGGGTACAACGCACATACATTCGGACATCGAAAGAACGCTAGATTCGTGTTCCCTGGCCTAAAAAACACCCAGAAAACACATTTTTGATGGGTGTTAATTTTTCGACCGATTCCAATACTTTACCTTACACACTAGGTGTGTGCGGAAAAGTAATAAAATGTCTTAACGTAAAAACTGAATCTATTTAAATTGAAGGAGTGGATTAAAAAATATTGTAATTACTCCGTGCTTGAAATAGTGGCATGATTAAGCGCAAAAATCTTGGACTTAGCACAATATTGACATTTTGCATGTATATGAACGAACGCGTCACTGAAAATTTATATCAGACCATTTTTAGATTTCGTAAGAAGTGTTTTGTACTTATTAATATACTAGCATGCCTTCGGCACGCTTCGCTCGCCTCGGCATACTAGTTTCTTCCGATACTTCTATATTTTTTTTTACATATGGGACGGGAAAAATTTCAAAAGTATTATTAGGGCCATTAATTATTATGGTTTTTAAGCCGTTTACCACGGTTTGACCCAGCCTTCAACCGTTGGAAATTGATTAAAATCGGTCATGTTGTTAATATTTCACGTATTTTTAACATTTTTACCATGATGGCCGACTCCGTAAACCGTGTTGAATCATGTTTTGACATTTTTACTATGATGGCCGACCCCGTAAACCATGTTTTGACATTTTTTACCATGATGGTCGACCTCAAAATCCATGGTAAATCATGTTTTGACATTTTTTACCATGTTAAATGGTTTTAGACTACGATGTACCATCATGTCCGACCTCAATAACCGTGTTTAATGATGTTAGACCACGATGGAGCAGGATGTACGATATCAGTAACCGTGTTAAATGGTGTTAGACCACGATGGACCGTGATGTACGAACTAAATGATATTAAAATCGCTTAATCGTCAAATTTTTTCATGTTTAACCATTTACCACGGTCCATCATGGTCGGCCATCATGGTTACAACGGTTCACCACGGTCCAATCTCGCATTTTTGACAATAAAATTGCAAAATACAGGCAAAATACGGTAAAAATACGGTTTTTTGACCATAATGACCGTGTCAAACCACGATGGCCGACCATGATTGTGCCTATATTCACCGCCGGACCGAGACCTTTCCAACGGTACCACTTTCATCCGGATCGGTTGAGGCGTTTGGACGCCAACCCCGGACATACATACATACATACATACTTTCTGATTTATAGATATAGATAGATGCTATAATAACAATGTCACTGTCAAGGTGAAACTTTCGACTATCTATTTTATCACCTTATAAGCGCCGTTTGTTATATTATCCTTTGTATAGTTGGGTCATATATCTCAGCAAATACAACGATGTCATCCGGTGCCCACATGTAGCCTATTCATTTTCGATTGGACTCTCCTGCTAAATGTTGGTTTTAAATTTTCTGACGATAAAACATTGCAGATGTTTGGGGCGATTTCCACGTATTGATTCAATTTGAAAGCTCAAAATAGTTACCACGAAGGACGAGACGTCAAAAAAGAGTTCGCTTTTACTTGAATTGTTTTCGTGCTCGTATATTAGGACACTGAAGAGTCGTGGTCAAAAACGATAACGGTTTTACATGCTGTTTTATGATTTTATTGTTCAATTTCAACAAAATTGAATTTTACCGTCATTTTTTCTAAATTGGCTTTGGTCAACAAATAATGTGAATAGCTTCAAAACATGAACCCCAATTATATAATGATCTTAAATAAATGCAGTTTATTATATCAGAAAGGCAAACACAAATTTATTAATATTTCCAGGATATTATCTGTGTAACGGACCGTACACAAAAGTATGCATACAATATAATATATATAATACAATTCAACACATACAAACAATTAATATTTATGCACACAATTATACTTCATGCATCAGCATAATAACCTAACTTGACAAACAATTCACTTATTAAAGCAGTTGCAATTACAAAGTAACCCAAACCTGTTGTGTTTTATATTATTACTAATTATTAATCCACAGCGTATTGAATAATAGGTAAATTCTATATATATTATTCATTATCTCTATCAGTTTAACTTCAGTTCACAGTACTTTTCCAGTCGAAATCAAAGCAAAAAGCCAGATCCATTTTCATTAAATCGTTTGTCAGGGAACAAAGTGTCTGTCCATACAAAATGTTCAAGTGTTGTAAAAAATCGAATAACATCATAATGGTGTCTTCAAATTCAAATCCAACGGAAAATATTCCTTCGGTCAAAAATGATTTCATCAAAAGTTTGCAACCGTTGTATTTCTTTTCGCGTGCTTTTGGTCGGTTACCATTCTCACTAGTTTCGAACTTAAATGGCGAGATTCAAAGAGCTCGCATTAAAAATTTCGACATATTTGCGTTGGCGTTTTCAATTTCCTTGCACTCGTTTTTGCTCTACTACTATCTCAAAAATATTCAGATAATTAATTTATTAATTTTCTGCAATACCTTTACTGTAATTCTACTATTAACTTTGCATCCAATTATTACTACGGTGGAGCTTTACAATCGAGCAAAATTTATTGATATTTTGAAAAAGTTCGGAAATTTCGATAAAACGGTAATAAACGACGTTAATTGCCATCGATTTATTCATGTTAAAGTGATTTTTTGACATTTCATCTAACAAAATTCAGGCCTCGATATATGGCGTTGATTTCAATTACAAAGAAAAGCGTCAACAAATTTTGGTGTGCTTTATAGCGATTTCAGTTCTTAGTTTAGTACTGCCTGCTATCGAATTTTTCATA